AAGATGCACGTCACCAAATCTTACATTTAATTCTCAGACCATTAATAGTTGTAACAGCTTACGTATATTAGGTAGAATATTCGTAAGGAAACTTACTTTTAGAGAGCATTGTACATACGTTAAGAAAGAGTTAATTACACGTTTAAAAGTAATAAAATATCTTTCCACTAAATACTGTATGGTCCATACCGTCACATTGGTAAAGATCGTGAGGGCTTTGATTTTGTCAAAAATAGACTACGGGCTGGTTATTTATGGACACTGTGCGAAACGGAATTTGAAACTTATAACCCCAGCCTACCACACTGCCGCAAGAAGGAGGATACGCGCATTCCCAACGTCGCCAACTAAATGCATTTTGACAGAATCAGGGTTACCGTCCATTGTTGAAAGAGTCAATTTCTGTCAAGCAGGATTATCACAAAAATTTTATTTAGCTGCAACACCCTTCTGCAAGATGCGGTCAAAAGCGCTGTGACAAGGAAAAGGGAAAGTAGAAACCGAAAATCTGCGGTGGAAAGAGTTCTAGAGGCAGCAAGGATACTGGAAATTCCCATCTCTCTAACTAAGACCAAATTCAAACGACCTCCACCCTGGCAATGTTTCGAACCGATTATGGTACTCAAGATGGCTAAATACTCAAAAGAAAATACAGCACCTACAGCTTTCCGGAAAATCTTCCTCGAACTCACCACCCCTTTTAGAGAAATGCAATGGAAACTCTTATATGTATACTGACGGGTCAAAGAATTCCTCGGCAACTGCCTATGCTGTTGTCGACGAATACCAGAACACAATTGCCGCGGGTCTCCTACACCCATTCTGTTCGGCATATACAGCTGAGGTAGTAGCGATTTACGAGGCTGTTAAATTTGCAATTGAATCGGGAGAGCAATTTGTCATTGTAACCGATAGTCTGTCAACGGTGAAATCTCTTTCAAATGACAAAAATAATAATCATTTAATGATAGCCATTAAAAATATGCTTATGGAAAATAAAAACAGAATAAAGATTATGTGGGGCCCTAGTCACGTCGGAATTGACGGCAATAAGACTGCAGATCGTAGAGCGAAACTTGCATCAGAACAACCCCTAGTGACATCAAAATGGATGTTAAAACAAGACATTTATAGGCACATTACCTCAGTAATGTTCTTAAATAAACAGAACGATTGGAAAAACGTTCGTCATCACTATTCGGATATCAATATAGGAAGCAAAAGCCCCAACCTTCCCCTCGATGTTAGTTGCAGCGAATAAAAGTCATTCATTCGCCTCAGAATCGGACATACAGTCATCTCCCACAGCCACATTCTCACAGGAGCTCTACCACCCCTATGCTCGTTCTGCGGTTCTAATCACCTCACCGTCTGCCACTTATTAGATATTTGCCCAAACTTCACCGCTACAAGAACGGCACTTTTTGACAATATCAAACCTTCCAGCCTACTAAGGAAAACTGAGTCTGATAAGATAAAATTAGTTAATGAGTTTCTAAAAACAACTGACTTAAAAAAGCGTATATAAAGTAAATTCGATACCACATACAATCACAAGTAAATATGTACCCTAAATCGCACTATCCTTAATGTAAACCCATATACTTAGTATAAGAGAGCCGAAGGCCTTAGATGCTAGTACTCCCATTTTGTGTAAACAAGTGATTCATCACTTGCTTTCAATTAAATAATAATAATAATATGTATGTACATACATATGTTATATACTAGCTTATAGCCGCGGGTTTTACCCCGCGCTTTTATACAAATAATAATAATAGATTGGCGCTTACACATATGTTAGTGTTTGGCCGAGCTTCTCCTCAATCTTGTGGCGTGCGNGGCCCTAGTCACGTCGGAATTGACGGCAATAAGACTGCAGATCGTAGAGCGAAACTTGCATCAGAACAACCCCTAGTGACATCAAAATGGATGTTAAAACAAGACATTTATAGGCACATTACCTCAGTAATGTTCTTAAATAAACAGAACGATTGGAAAAACGTTCGTCATCACTATTCGGATATCAATATAGGAAGCAAAAGCCCCAANTTTTATACAAATAGGAAAAATAATTTAATGTTAGATCTTATTTCTGTGCCCATTTCGTTATAGCTCGTTATTTTTTAAGCGAGTTAAGGTATTTAGGCCGTTTAAAACTATGAAATTATAAAATCTCGTCTGCGCGCTAGGCCTACGAAATATATCAATCCCTCTAAGTTTACCTTAAAATGGTTCCAGGTATACGACGCGTGAACGTGTAACCTTCTTGGAGGTGCCACGGCGGGTTCTAATATTTCCAACTCAAATTTAGTAACCTGGCCTTGATAAAATACCACTTCTCATTACTGTAGCAAATGCCTCAAGAGAGCTTTAGATTATAAGGCCGAACCCGGCTCTCCCTTTTCCATTTAATGAAATTTATT